TTCTGCAATATATTCATTGTGTCCTGAGTAAAAAAAAAAACGTCAACACGATCCTTCCTTAAAAGGAAAGTGAAAGTAAAACTGCTGAAAGCCTGAGTTTTTTTTAAGTAAAAGTTAAAAACCCATTTGTTTAGAGCAGCCTTTGAATGTTGAAGGAAAACTGTTACTTTGAGGTATTAGTTTAAGTTTGTGTTGCATCTGTATTATCTGCTTTACTACCTGCTTTTATTCTGTTTTTATTTAGCTTCTATTTAATCAACTTCATGTAGAACACTTTGTATTGCCTATGTATTAAATTGTGCTATACAAATAAACTTGCTTTAACAAATATGGGATTAAGACGTAATAAAGTAATCATTTTTCATTTATTTCTGCACAATATAATGTTAATTTTACTTAAAATAATCTATGGACAAATTCTTAAAACGTTCCTGTTGAGTTTTCTACCCTGAATCCAAGCTTTAAAAATCCAACAGATAAACATTATAAGATAATTAAATTGGGTCTGTATACGGCAGCCATTGAGGTGCTTCTCTGCCCTGCCCACTCTCTTCAGTAAACAGATTTTACTTTTGTTCTGTCCTGTTAAAGGAATTCATCATTTCATTGTTTTCTGTCGACCTTCAGGTCACAGGGAAAGCTTAATCATCACAAACAGAATTACAGTCACCATCCCAAATGTCAATACTCTAGTTTGGTGGAACAACATTTACTTTGTAATTAACTGGTCTGTAATGGGAAAAGGGCTTTCATTAAGAGGTCAATATGCCACAATGTCTTTAGGCTATTATAGGTAATAAAGCAGAACTGAGGGATGCAGTTTACATTCACTCATCATGGCCAGTGAGATTATTCAATTTCGGGTTTTTGATATTCATTTAAACTGTTAATTTTCCAGGGTGGAATAATTATATAATAAATCTTTTTTTTAAGAACTGGGTGCACAATTTTCTATATGGATTTTCTGTCTGTCAGTGGAGAAACCATGCACTTGTTTAGCAATTGGCTAGCTTCATGCTAGACTGGTTTTCTTAATCTCTCTTGTAAATTCTGATCTTGGCAGATTCAATGTACTAGCTGGAATATGCGGATCCTTGTCAGACAGCCTGTGGGTTATTTTGCTAGACGTAACCTATAGGTCTTTACCAAGTCTGCGGGTTCCTCACCTGAATTGTAAACCTAAACAAACAACTTGGAAAAACTGGGATGTCTTTTATACAGGCGCAGAAGGGCAAAAAAAAAAAGGGCAAAAACGTAAAAAGAAATGTTGAAACTTTAAAGATAATAACAAAATCACGTAATAATATAAAAATAAGGCATGCATAATATGGCCCATCTTCTATGACGGTTCTGAATCTTTGTTTCTGCTTCTGTCAGCCATCATTCTCTTTCTGTTTGAGTCAGCATTATCGCTCCCAGTAGTGTAATCCCAGTGGAAATATGGAAAGATAGACACATTGCACTGGACTACTGTTATCTATGGGTTAGATAAATTTTTTCTTAAATTGTTGTTTAAGGTTCAAGAAAGAAAGGATCAGAAATAAACATTGAAACAATATTATAGAATGGAAACAGAAGTCTAGTTCACATTCAAGACCTGATCTGATCTGTTTTAAGGTAACATTCATTACAAAAGCCTAAAGCGTGGGGAAAAAAGAAAAATACAATTCTAAAAATTTCATGGGGACAATCTCTAAGAGGAAAAAAAAGTATTATAGGAGATTAGAACATAATAAATGCTTGTTGTCCGGTCTTGGTCGGCTAATGATACTGTTGCACTGTTGCAAGCAAAATAATAGCATTTTTTGGTTACTGTAGCCATTTCTTTGTTTGTTTATTGGTGCATTTAGGCGGATGGTGTGGGGGAAACTTTGTTTTGCATTTCTGGTTCCAGCGGATATGTTAAGAGATTCCTTTGTCTGGTATTTCCCCAGAATCAGAGTGAAGGGAAACATGATGGATCCTGGTATTATTATTTCTTTCGCCTGCCTTATACAGGTTAAGCATTGTAACTGTGGTTTGCATCACTGGGACCTGTAACTTAGTATCCCTGAAGAACGTTTATATAAAATACCAAATTGCTGCGTATTCATAACTCTTCAGTCAATAAATTGTTTACCAAAAACTCTATTTATGTACTTTCAGAGAAACAATTTTAGCCCAGATAGTTCTAACCTTGACATCCAGTCACAACCCAGATGTCATTAAGATGCATTTTCAACCAACAGATGCTCAGTTGAATGATTCTTTGACATGTTATTTTCCTTTTCAATTGATTAATGTGGGCCCTACTCTCCTCATACCTCATACAGGGTTTTTAAATTGACCCAACATGCTCATTTAAGCCTGATAAACCTCCCTGAAAACTGCAGCATCAGCTGAACTCTATTGGAGCTTCACAAAGTACACAATATTCCTTGTGTCTTTGTGTTCAGGGTCTCAAGAGCGCAGACACCCCCAGTTATGTGTGCTTTCTGTTGGTTCATCACAAGAACACAATGAGACAGTGAGAAAGCTTGTCTTCACTGATACAGACGATTAATTACCCCCTCAACTGAGAGCAGTGTGATTAAATTAATCAAATATGGCTCAGTGATTTATATAAATATGTTTGTAGCTCCTATTCTGTCATATATTAAATTACACTAAATATACACTAAACATACATAATGAACTGTTAATAAGATGTTTCATATGCTTGCGAATTCAATCTGTGTTTTTTTTTTTTGTTCTTCTGGTACATCATCAAAATTCTTTGGTTTTCTAAGCATAGTTACTTATAATAATTCCGTCTATGTTATTTGTTCATATTTTGATGTTAAACCAAATGCTTAAAGAAGAACAGTAGAATAAAGATAGGCTATGTTAATAAAGCAGGAGTTTCAAATATCTATTTCACAAAAAAATTAAACAATTGTTCTGTTCTTCTCTCTAATGGGCAATACTAAGATTGGTTGAACTCATTAATATTAGTTAGTTAAGCAGACATGCAGGTATAGCTTATCGTCAGTAGTTTTAAAATAGAGTTACCTTTGATCAAACTGATGAGAGTAATTCCAAAAACACTCAGTTCTCATTCATATATCAGAGTGGGTAGAGGTGGATAGAATAGCCAAATAATATACTCCAGTAAGAGTAGGACTACTTCAGCATTTCTTTGCCATCCAAGAAATGACTCAGGAGTATTTCGGTATAAAACTGTTCGAGTACTGATTAGCTGTTCATATCATGGACTTAAAATTTTAATATTTTGTTAGATAGAGAAAGACATATAGTTCTAAGTAAAAGCCTAACTACATGCATCAAATAAAACGAAACAGAGAAAAACACTTGTCAAATCTATGATCAGTTTTTTTGCACTATAAACCTTATGAAACCCATCATTTTAGTAACAAATGCATGCTGTTCATGGTAAAACATGGTAAAGTACCTTTGGTGACAACATCCACAGTTTACTGTGTATTCAGTTTCAATTCAGTGTATTTATATGGGGCCAATTCACAACACATGTCATCTCAAAGCACTTTACAGAGGCAATTCAACCAGTTCATACTGTCAAATTGATTCAAAGTTTTCTATCTAAGGAAAGCTAGTTGATTGCATCGACTCATTGAAAAGAAGGCAATCCTTCATACTAAGAATGCTTGTAGCGATAGTGGAGAGGAAAACTCCCTTTTAGCAGGAAGAAACCTCTAGCAGAACCAGACTCAGGGTGAGCGGCCATCTGCTGAGGCCGACTGAGGTTCAGGGAGAAAGAAGCAGACATAGAAAAAGAAGCAGAGATATAAAAAGGCAACTGTCAACCAGCTTCACAGGTGGCCCTGTCCAGGAAACACACAGCCAGTCAGACGAACTCTGAGCCAGCTCCCATGTCAGAGGATGAAGAGAGCAGTTACAGTTAGTCACAGTCAGAGACTTGACCTCCACTTGTCACAGCAGACTCAGTGTATGGTAAAGTAAATGTATATTAGTAAATGTAAGTGGTTACTACCCACCTGTGATTGTAGGCCTTTCCTTTCTGCAAGCTGCTCATTAGTGAGGAAGTAGAGGGGGTGGGGGGGGGGGGGGGGGGGGGGGGGCAACCTCTGGCCATATGACTGGACAGAAGTTTGGTTACTAACAGGTTTTCTCTAACATAACCACACAATGCCTATTAAAGCTTTTAAATTAATCTCTGATCGTTTATCCATTTCATATGTCTACATACTGCAACTCATTTAGCAAATCCCAAAAGTCTGCAAAGCACTAAACACAACACCGGGGGGCAAGTTTAAAGAATTTAAGCTTTATATTTACTGCATCATTACGTGTTCTTTTTCTTCACACTTTTGATGTCTTTATTTTTCATCTGCAATGTAGAAAATTATAATAAACATGGATTCATTTAATAGAGTCGCTTATTTGATTTATTTCATATTGCTGTTTTTGTTGTTTTTCTTATTCTGGTCATTGTGAGTTTTTTTACGTATGTTCTAATGTAGCCTGTTTAGTTATTCTTCCATTTAGGGCATAGTTATCCAGCATCCATCAAAACACACTTTTTATAGTAAGGCTGAGAAGCAATTAACAGTTACAGGTAAATTCTTTAGAATAAAAATGGGATGTGCTTTCAACGCATAATCATGGATCTTTATTGAGTGCACGTGCAAAAAAAGATGTCAAATATTTTCTCATAAATGATACAATAAAAGAAGAGCAAAATGGTAAAGCAGTACTAAGGCAGGTAATGTGGGAACTGATGTGTGAGATTTTTAAATTATGCCCCTCAGCTAAATCATGCATCTAAGTGGAGAAGTGAAAATGGAGAAAATCCTTTATTTTACCAACTTATTTCCCACCAATATTTAACCTGTTTCAGTTTACCAGGTGATCCAATATCAGGGTGTTTTGGGGAACCTCAAACTCCAAACCAACTTTAGACATGTCAGCAGTGTTTATAGTCCATTAGCAGACTGTAACACTAAAATGTGTTTTTCTCTTTTTATCATTTTTCCACAGATAAAATGTTGCTGCATGGGAGTATGTTGCTTGGCTTCCTTTGCCTGGGACACGCCAGCACTGCCTGGGGTTTAGCCCGTTTGCTGGACAACACAGAGCTTCGCTCAGCATTCTCAGTGTCACGCACTAATAGCATGGAAGGAGGGCCAAAAATGACAGTGACCTTTGACACCGTTTACGTCAACATCGGTGGGGACTTTGATGCTAAGGCTGGACTGTTTCGCTGCCGCATCCCAGGGGCCTACTACTTTTCCTTCACAGTGGGAAAATTCCCTCACAAAGACCTGTCTGTGATGCTGATGAAGAACCGGAATGAGGTGCAGGCCATCGTGTATGAGGAGAACGCCGGAGAGGAGAGGAAGGTAATCTGAGAAAAAGCTATAAAGAAAAAGATTTTTAGAAGACTCAGAAATGTTTAGCCATCATTTCTGACTCTTTGTGAAATATTTGCACAATATTTTAGCACTTTTCTTTAATAGCAGTTGTTAATCAGCATTAGATAAAAATCTATGAAAGTTGAGGAGCTCCATCATACAGCAACAACTGGGAGCAGAGAAGCTCTTAGTATCAAAAGCAGTCAGTTTAGGAGGTTGAAAAAATATTCCAACCTTAGGAGGTTCTCAAAACATCTTAATAGGTAGAGATTCTAGACTGGCTGATTGGACGATACGGTGCCTGGTCATATCTATATATGAGTGCCTAACTAGTTGGTTTGTTGCCAGGTAACTGCAGAGCTGAATGATATGCTGATGAAAGTATTTCAGCTCTCTGATCCATGTTTTGCTGGAACAGGAATGCTTCTAAAAGTTCAGGGGTTGTAACTCTGAAGGTCTGTAGTTTGGCACCCTTAATGAACTAGTATTCAAACTTTTTTGCACTGTTCACATTTTCTAACACCAAAAACACATTTTCAAAGTATTCTATTATTATTTTCCCCAGAGATAATCTGGTCAGAGTTGATGTGAAGGTGGATGGATCTATATACAGGTTAATCCAGGAAGAATACTGGTTAGAGGCTGGAGATTGAAGTAGATGCTTGCAGGACAATGAACCCGAATAAAGCATAATTATGTAATAGAAAAGCTTAGTGAAATCCAATTCATAATCTAAGGCAATAAATTCAGACCAGAAGTCACAGGCTGTCTCTCTACTCCAAAAAAAGAAACTTAAAAACAATCTACTGGACTTTGTTCTCTCGTTTGAAGACGTTTCGCTTCCCATCCAGGAAGCTTTCTCACTTCAAAATGTCAGGAATAGCGTTGAGTTCGAACTCAACACTGTTTCTGACCTTTTGATCAAACTTGGAAACAAAGACCAGTAGATTGTTTTTAAGTTTCTTTTTTTTAGAATTACTATGACCTGGATGACTGAGAATCTTCACCAGATCTCTCTCTACTAAACTTGTTATTTTGCAACAGCAGGTACAGAGCTGTCCTAAAGGATATAAAGCTGTGACTACACAATTTCCTATAAGCTATAAGGTAGTTTTGCAATCCAATTCCAACATCGGTTTCAGTTTGGGAAAACTTTAACATGGCCAAATGTGGAGGTTAAATCTGTTGTTTGAAAGATGGATATTCATGATAAAATTGTTTGATGAACTGAAACATTTAGGTACAAACAAAAATCCTCAAAAAACATTTGTGATCGGGGAACTTTACTTTTCACAGTTCTTTCATTATGAAGAACACAAAAATAGAACTATGACTTTGAGGATTTATTATGCTGTACTGAAAGCAAAAGGCAATGCGGATTTTAATCATCTACCAGTTTAAAGTGATATGTACTGAACAGGCACCTAATATTGTGGATCAGAATATTTCTCTTGGGATACCTTGAAGGTCTTTAATCATGTCAGAGCTTAGATTAAGCCTTATTGCAGGGGTTTATAGTTTTTGGGGGAATTGATGATTCGTAGAGGCTTACTCCTCTGTGATTGAATCATGTTTGTTGTCGGCATCCTTGATGTAGAACAGGGCAGATTTTGCCCCACCCGCAGAGCTAATACAATCTGATTAAATCCTCAGGTGCAGAGTCAGAGCGTCATGCTGCAGCTGGAGTTTGGTGACACCATCTGGCTCCGTCTCCATGGTGACCCTCGCTACGCCCTCTACAGCAACACTGGACACTACACCACCTTTAATGGTTACCTCATCTACCCCGACACCTACAGCTACCAGACCCACCATCACCAGCACCATCCCACATATAACCCTCAGCAGGAGGACCTCCAACTGCAAAACACAGAGCAAATCAAGTCCAAGGCAGGAGACTCAGAGAAGGAGGAGCTACACAGAGAAGAGGAGGAAGAAGTGCAAGAGTATGATGATGAAGAGGATGATGGGAGATCCGCCTTCTCTGTGGGCCGTACCCAAAGCATTCTGGGAGTCAACCAGGTGGGCATGCTGCAGCATCGACCAATCAGCTTTGACACAGCTTTCGTCAACATTGGAGAGGACTTTAACGTGACGGAGGGTGTGTTTACCTGCCGCGTCCCTGGGGCATACTACTTCTCCTTCAACGTGGGCAAGCTGCCCCAGAAGACACTTTCCGTGAAGCTGATGAAGAATCGTCTGGAGGTGCAGGCGATGATCTATGATGACAGCCAGGGTGAGAAAGCTCTGCAGAGTCAGAGTGTGATGCTGGCACTGAAACCAGGGGACATAGTCTGGCTCTACTCTCACCAGAGAGACGGATTTGGAGCCTACAGCAACCACGCCAAGTACATCACCTTCACTGGTTTCCTGGTTTACCCAGACATCCCCCAAAGCCCCTCCGCCGCTGTCACGACCAGCCAATCATATTCTGCCAAGAGGCCTTAACTAGAGCTGAATGGTTAATGACTGAGCACCCTGAGTAGGATTCATGTAAAGTGTCAAATGCTACACAGGGCATCAGAACGTGTTTGAGTCCCAACTGCTTTCTGGCTTCTTTCCTCTTCATACGAATTCCTTCTCAAAGTCAAAGGAGTTTGGACTCACCTAATAGAAAATCTATTTAGTTCATGTCTAATGGCTTCCAAGGTCCACTTTCTATCTCACTTGAATAGGAATACTTCCGTCTAAAATCAAAATTCTTCAGTCGTTCGTTCGTTCGTTTCATGATTAGATCAACACTTTATTTGGTCCAGACGCATGGTGATGCATCTGGGTCCAATTCGTTCTAGTTGTATCTCATGTTTTAAATCAACTTTATTTCTCACACAATTTTACAGAATATACAAAGTCAAATTCAGTTAAATATGACCTGATTTAGATCTAATTTCATTTATTTCAACTTAATTCAAATTTATTCTAATGGACACTGATATCGATCCATTTGCAGCTTTCTGTGACAGCTACCCTACACAACCACACTTCCACAAATTCCAACTAAAGGAATTCCTTTGGGAAAAAAAGTAATTATTTTAAATGAGAGGATAAATATAACAGGATAATATAAAACAAAAATATCCTTACAAGTTAACTCAAATATACCAAAGAGTGGAACCCATTTGATTGGATAGTGTCTGCAGTTTCAGCCCTTAGACGAAGCACTCAGGGTGCACTTCTAACTTCATCCACTGGAAACGTGTGAGTCTTAGATATTCAACATTTCTTAATGGAATATTCCTTGAAGTGCTGTCGGGTTGCTGTCAAAGACTTGATGTTTCTGCTTGTGAGTAATATGTCTCTTTACTTGTTATGTCACTAGCATGTAAATGAATGTAAACTATGTGGTCAAATTAGTCCTTTTTCCCCCATATTTGAGGTTTGATGTTGTTTTCTTGGGCACAGCTGGAGCAAAGGATCACAGGACGGACCTGACACAGATTTGGAGCGTGTTCAGGACTCTGTGTCCTTATAACTGTTGACCGCATGCTTCCTCCGAGCCTGCGGGAATCTGGAACATAATTTGATTTCTAATTCTAGCAGCATTTATTTCACGTCTTCAGACAGAGCCCACTGTGGGGAAAATTGAATTGATTCTCCCAGGCTGCAATGATGTGCTTATCTAATTTCACAGCGCTGGGAGCAAGATGATACAGTTCAAACTGTCATGAACCCTTCTTTTATCAAACAGGCTTGTCCCCTGGGTGACCACTGGGGTTCAATTTGAGTTTTGCTGAACATTCAGATGTTTTTCTTAAATTTGTTGGTAATTTATGAGAAGCAAAGGGTGGAATATCTTTGAGATGCAATACCCTGATTTTAATCCAATTAGCCGCTATTCCCAAAAGAAAAATGACTTACAGTTAAAAATCAGCAGCAGTGAAAAGAGCAAGGGAGAGCACTCCACAGATCTGCAGAAATTTATTCCAAAAATGTATGTTTAAGATGCAAATCTCACTGCGTATTTAATGAAAGCCTATTTCTAAATCAAATTCAAAAACAGCACACGCTGTGAAAAGAGATTTCTGTTATAAATTGCAAAGATAACTGCATTTTAAAAAGGAAAACCCTAATAAATGTATTCCCTTTTGACATATTTATAGGGGGAAAAAACAAGCAAAATATGAAAACCTATAAATCTCTAAAGATAAATCTTGAAGACTGCAGAGACTTTTAGGATACTAAAATCTGGTTATTTTTCTCTCCCAGTAGGAGCAAACAGTGAATGTGTTTCACGGCAGATGATATATTCAGTCGCAGCATAAACCTCTTTTCATCTTAGCCTCAGTGTTAGAGTGGGGCATGTATATACAGACCTGTGATTCAGTGGGCCGAGTACAGTTCAGGAAATTATGTTGATTCTACCCAGAACCTCTGGTGTGCAAGGCTCAGAGACTTGTGTTATCATGCATGCATGTAACTAAAAAAACAAAATATTTTCTCACAATTACTGTGCAATTTCAGAAGGTCAGTAGATGCCTGTTTCCTATTTATTTTATTTTTATGTGAATTATGTGTACAGTTTTAAAAACGTGCTTCTCTGTTTATGATGCTTTAGATCAAAGATTGTGTAATAATATTTAATATTCAGATATGGATAAAAATGTGGGTTTGTTTTTATTCAGTTATCAAAACAAAGAGTTGTGTTCTGCATTGCCAAAAAAGAAAAAACTGCATTGGGAAACTGTTTTGACCCTTGTTGTCTGCCGTAGTCTGACTTAAACTGTTTGACATGTTTAAATTGATTCTTACATGTAAAGTGAATGCAGCAAAACTGTGCATTGAAATAAAAGAAAGATGACAAACAAGCAGGGCTGTTTTTATTCATCAGGGGTGCAGCGCCACCTGGTGTTTTGTTTTTCATTTGTGGCACATAAATCCACAAGTGAAACAGTAAATAAGACAGAGGTAAGAGAACAAAATCTACTATGCAGCAAAAAATAAACTACAAGTACAGAAAATGAATAAAGTTGATTAAGTAAATTTCTGAATGATTGATTCGTTTTATTCTTTTAAATTAATTTAAAATCAACTTTCCTGTATTGTTTATTAATAGAAAATAGCTGTTTAGACTGCCACCATCTACTGCTATACATTCTGTTATTTTATATTTTCATATTAAAATCCTTAATATGTTAGTAGGTGGTGCTCAGAGGGACATATGGTAACAAAGTGAAGATTTTATACAATCTGCTGGTCTCCTTTGATGATATTCATAGCCTAAATTTTTGGTCTAAATAGAGATATTTGGGGTTAAAAAAAATTACAAGTCGGAACAGAGATGTGGAAGTTGATTGGACGTGTTTTTGTTTTCATGTTAAAAGCCCTGAGATCCTTCCTGATGTGGTCTGATCATCTAAGCCAGGGGTGCTTAACTCCAGTCCTCAAGAGCTACCATCCTGTAACTTTTTGATCAGGCATCCCAACCTCGGTCCTCGAGGCCCACTGTCCTGCAGGTTTTAGAGGTTTCCCTTCTTTAGCACAGCTGATTATATTGATTGCAGTAGACCAAAAGCCTGTTAATCAGCTTTCAATTAAAATCAGCTGTGCTGGAGCAAGGTAACCTCTAAAACCTGCAGGACAGCGGCCCTCGAGGACCGAGGTTGGGGATGCCTGTTTTAGATGCATCTCTTTGCACACCTGAATCTAAAGCCTCAATCCCCTCATTTAGCCCAGCAGAGGCGTGGTAACGAGCCACTCATTTGATTCAGGTGTGTTAAAAATGGTTGCATCAAATAGTTGCAGGATAGTAGTTCTTGAGGACTGGATTTGAGCACCCCTGATTTACACCAATATCAGACTAATTATAATCTTTTATTCATTTGAACCTCTTTTTCCGGGGTGGACTGATAGAGATAAAACTTCACAAAGGCAGAATTTTACACTCGGGCTCAGTAATATATATCTATATAAACACAGGCTTTTTGTAGCCAGCAAGAACTTTGGATTAAATCTGGCTTGACATTTGATCACCTTCTTGGCAGAATTCATTTTCAAACATAACTAATTATGAAGCTTAGTGGTGGAGCATCATGCCAAGTGTCTCAATGTCTTTTTAAAACATTTTCTACATAACTTCTTCTGCTGTAAGTGCTTGTGTGTGAGGTAAGCTACTCCCTGTGGCGACTAATAAAATACCCATCTATGGCCGTTAGGCTACCAGTTTTATGGGGAGACACTTAATTGGTGGATGAACCTTAGCTGGTACCTATAAATTCACCTGGAAAATCAAACACTAGACTAGACGGTTAAACCCTGGAACCAGTTGAGTTTTCCGACATTAAGATCCCAAACACGTCAAGTTTAGAATGAATGCATCTTCCAAAAAAAACAAAACTCTACACTTTTAAGAATAGAAGCGAAATGTTCCTCCAGGTTCATGTTAGGACCTTTTTCACAGCTAAAATAAATTGAGGTTGATATCTAACCTCCTGAGGAGGGTGTGTATAGGAGTTATTTGATCTGAGTGTATAATTTTTACCACATTGGTGATAAGAAAAAAAATCCACTGTAAATTCAAAAATCATTAACACTTAAATTATCAGGATGAACACGGTCAAAATGAAAGCATGTACATGTCTGACCAACAGTCACTGTAAACAAACAAAACAGTGCAGGAAAAAATAAGCTATTGAAAACATGGTTACCGTAATTTGTTTAAAGAAGGTTGGTACATGAATTTGCAGAAGAAGAATCTCTCATCTCAGTCACTATAAAACCTTTGGCTCTTTCTACTCCGCTTTCTCCTTAACCAAAACAAAACAGTAAAGTTGCAACAGAAAGCTGTTCTAAAATAAAAACTCAAAGCACAATAAGAAAGGTCCAGCGTTGGTTTTATTATTAGCTTTTATTTACATAAATATTTCAGATTGGGCTGTCTGGCAGGACGCAAACAACATGTAGGTGAAAGTGTACTAGGTTTGAACTGAGTGACGTCACTTATTCTCTGGGGCTGAGTCTCCTGCCTCCAGTTTTGGCGCAGCCTCCTTGGGATCTCGGTACGCTGGGAACACCTCCCAGGGTGTGTTCAGGTCGAACTTCCTGAACTCCTGTGCCAGCTCAACGGGCTCAGCCACCACCCGCTTCAGCTCATCATCATAACGCACCTGTGAAGGGAAACAATGCTCAGCTCAGAAACATAATATATCTCTAGGTCTCCTCACTCAGATTGGGACATTCTTAAATGCCCCCAGGCTTTTTCAAATTCTAAACAAGATTGTTTATTGATATCTTTATCATTTTTTTCATAAAAAGTAATCTTGACATTTAAATATAAAGAAAGAAAAAACAAATTAAAAATGGACCAATCACACACATCTATTTAGACAAAGCAAGAACCTTGGCATAAATGTAGTGTTTGAGCGCTTCCCCATCTAAAAGAGACCAGCTTTGTAGAAAAGGGATAACAACTGTTTTCATAGAATCAGAGGAAAAACTCAGCTAAAAGGGGTCAAAATAAGATCAAAATCGGCACCAGCTGATGTTAAAGAGCAACATCAGAGAGAAAAACCAAAGAAAGATAATTTTACATGAATGGCTGTTGGTTTGCAGTAGTCTTCCAACAGAAAGCTGCGCTTTCCTCTGGTTGGAGTCACAGTGAAAACCAAGATGAAACCAGTTTATTGGTGCTAAAGCCATAGCTTTCATCCAGCAGCAGTAAATCAATCAGCGCAAAGCATACACTAGCACCAGTTTAACACCACAATACATAAAAAAACAATAATGTGAACTTGTATTTCATTTACTGAGATAAAAAGAACAATGTCACTGCTGTCAAAATTGAACAAACCGGTAAAAAAAAAAAAAAAAAAAAATTCCACTTTATAACAGGCTCCTTTAAGACACCACATAAAAGTACAGAACAGAATTTGATATTTGCTCTGAATGGTGGTTACATTAGTGCGCTTGTGCTCTGAGAAGGTTGCAAGTACCTGGTTTGATCCCTACATCCTGCACTCTAGGTCCCTGAGGAAGACCTTAACCCCACACTGCTCCCCAAGGGGATGGGTTAAATGCAGAGAGGTAATTTCTCCATTGTAAGATAAACACAGTTCAATTTCTTTCTTCTTTATTTCTGAACAAACTTTGGGGAAATTAGTAAAAAAGTCCATTTTGGAAAAAAAAAAGACAGTTTTAAAAGGATTTCAAACATTAATTAAGTTCTTCAACACCAAATATAAAATTCTGATAATAAATACACAATAAGTGTCCTTTTCATTGTAGTTGAAGGAACCACTTCATTCCTCATTTCAGCACAGCCTATAGTTGCTGATTTTCCTTCCAGCTATTTAAACATTACCGGTAAACTACCTTTGGGTTTGATGGAGGTTCTGAATCACCTCTGTGCTTATTAGAAAAGATAATCCAATTACTGTTTGCAATCAGTTTATTCACTTTATACTGACAATGTGAACAAGGCCATGATAGCTGTACAGACTGAATATACAACCAGAGGAGGAACAGTCCAAAGCTTCCTCCACTCCCCTAGGTGTACTTGAACTATGATTTCAAACGATGAATTAAATCAATCAGGTCAAAGAACATCCGAGCGTTAAGCTCAAACTCGGGCAGAACTCACCTCTACGTATCCTGATAGAGGGAAGTCCTTTCTGAAGGGGTGACCCTCAAAGCCGTAGTCTGTCAGGATGCGCCTGAGGTCAGGGTGGTTGGCAAAGAACACCCCAAACATGTCCCACACCTGTTGCCATACAAATTCACTCAGTCAATCACAGCTTCCAGCCTTCCCGTTAAGTAGAAACGGCGGTGACTCACCTCCCTCTCGTACCAGTTGGCGGCCTTGTGGACGGACACTGCAGAGTCCACTGGCGTCAACTCATCTGTGTACGTCTTGACACGAATACGGGAGTTGTAACGCAATGACAGCAAGTTGTACACAATCTGTAAAGGGAAATCAAAATATCTGGGTTATTAACTGTACCAGGAACACAATCAATTTCCTTTCTGGTGTCTACCTAACGACTCAAGTGTTCACTTTATCATAGCCGCAGAAACTAATAGTGAAGGAACAGCATGTGACCAGAACATGTAGAAGTGAGGCTCAGAAACTAAGAAAAAGGCTCTTCAGCATAAATTGAAATAAAAACAGAACAGTTAAACAGTTCAGAAGTAAGTTGGGGGTGTAATCTTAGAGCAGCCATAACTAAAATGGTCATACAAAAAATAAATATTTTAGCATCCGAGCTTTGCTGCCAGCAATGTCAAAGCAAGATAGCTTCTCAATACAACATAAAAAGTTAAGAAAACCCCAGAAATTCATATTAACTTGTATATTGAAGCTTTATATCTCTAAGATTTTATTTTAGGTTGTTATCTAATACATTTTGGGTTAAGTATTTATCACCCAAACACAAAAAAGATCTATTTGAAACTGGTCAAAACTTCACATTTTTTATAATAATTTTCAGATTTCGGGAAAGAATCAGTGATGTTTTTTTTAAATAACTGAACAACAGAATGAATAAACATCATTTAAGTTTCTTGCTTATCACACTATGCAATATTTTAACTAAACAAATTTGTATTTGTAAACAGATCTACTTATGAAGAACTGTCAGTTATCATTTGTGGGACTTACAATACATTTAAATCTTTAAAAATATATTACAATAAATAATGTGAACAATTAGACATTTTTTTGTTTTTTCTTTGGCTGTTTCTTTTAGCAGCAGATGATAAAAACCTCTTCCCTGTGATCCTCCTCCTTCCTGGCTGTTCAGTATCCAAACTATGTACAACTCCTTCACACAGATCCAAACCTCTCAGTCTTATATTCTCGGTTCATCTAATTGTGTCTCAAAACTGAGCTGCCGTTATTTCTGATTATAAAATAGCTCTTCATAGCAGCTTTCATTCTATTCTTGTAAACCCATCGGCTATTAATCATCACCGACATTGTCTCCATGTAAAGTGCACCGCCCATTTCTTTGGATGGTTGACCCTCTGATACTCAACCACCTTCAGAAACTCCACTGTTTGTAGCATTACTATTCCTCCCATCCGTCTTTCATTCAGGCAGGGACCATTTCCTCCTTTTCTGGCAGCCTGTCCACCAGCAATGAAAACCATACACTTCTTTCTTGTTGTCCTTAAAGCTACAGTGTGTAATTTTCAGCGACATCTAGCGGTCAGACTACAGACCACAGACCGCAGCAACATGAACATCTCCCCCCCACCGCTTCTCCCCCCCACCGCTTCTCCCCCCCAACAGTACGGCGAGCGTTACGGGACAAAATTTCTTCTACGACGTCCACATCACCTACCCTCTCAAGTGATGAGGTTTGTTTACATAGATAATTTTACAGATAGTATTTCATTAGTCTGTGTAGGGTATAGATTTCATGTAGACTTAAGATAATAAATATACCCGTTATTTTTTCTACATCGTTGTGACGTCTTGGTGACCTGCTTTGCATGGTGATATAAACAGACGAAGTAATTGTAGTCATTAGTTTAACAGCGAGATTGTGTTCGCTGGAAGAATATATATCCCCCGTTTACAGAGTCCAAGTCATTTTGGTGGCACGGGGGTTACAACGCGAGGGAGAGGACGAGGGCGAAGGCAGGGAGGCCGTGCAGCTAGGGCCAGGCGAGAGAGGGGAGCCAGCGGGGTGAGAGCAGAGGAGGAAAGGCTTGAAGATCTCCAAAGGAGCCGGAGAGAAGTAACCGAGGTATATATCCAGAAAATTATTTTACAGAAAATTACTGAATCATTACCTGTGAAACGTCAGGGACGTTGCTGAATAAGTATACTGGAGAGTAACAGCATCATCACGCAGCATGTTATTGTTTTAGACAGGTCTGAGCATCCTGTACTCCAAAAACTGCAGTGATATTAGACAATTGTGTGTGTAGGATTAATTACCTGTCCAAGAGAAAACTGGCAACTTGAGCGTCACTTTGAAAACCTTTTTCCTCCATCAGTGACTTCCATCGTGTAAATGTCCTGCCAATGTTGATCCGTGTTTTTTGCCGTTTCTTGTCACGCTTGCGTTTATTCTCGTCGTGTTTCCGCTTCTTAGATGACGGGGGTTCGGTGTCCGCCGCTTTTCGTTGTGATACAGAGTAGGCATGATCCTCCATTCGTCTGATGTTTGGCCACACAGTGCCAAACAGTTTGCAAAGTCACTCACGCCTGCCGCCTTGTTCACCTTTCTTGTTACTGAGGCGCAGTATACCTGCTTCTTCTTCTTTGGTTTCAGGCAGACTAAACGCTTCTCAGGCATAATACTGCCATCTACTGTTCAGTACCGTCTCAGTTCATCTCTCTCAACTTGCCGTAGTTATTTTTGAGCGTCATGGGAGATCTCGCAATCGCTAGTTTGTTGCCTCTGCGCTTGCCGTAGCGCAAAGATGTCAGCCTCCATGGCTGCGAGACCCGCTCCTATGTAATTATAAATAACGAATTCTAAGGCAACGCAAATATTATGGTTAAAAGGCTGAGCTCATAGGTGATGATAAATAACATAGTTATGTATAATATATTAAATTTCTGACTTTATATGCCTGTAATTATTACACACTGTAGCTTTAAGAGTTTCTCTTCTTGGCCCTTTTAAAACTTCTAATTTACAACCATAAATAGATTTAATTTAATAGAGTTTTGTTTTAAATTTTAAATTGCTGAAATAAAAAATAATATCAAATCCGAACTTAATCCCAGCAGCTCAGCCGATTATTGTCCAACAATCTGAAACTAAAGTGATGTAAAAACATGTGTTAAAGAAGTTCTGAACCAACCTCAAAGCGGATCTGCCGTGAGGGGATGTCCACAGCGGTGAGGTCGATCATGTTCCTGAACTGAGCGTTGGTGTGGTCTCTCAGAAAGGTCAGCACTGGGATCACACCGTCAGGATGAATCATCACCTCCAGCTCATTATAACATGTCACCTTAAAATAAGAAATAAAGTTAATTCTAATTAGCTTCGCCTTTTTCTAAAAATCTAATTTAGAGTTGTAACTTTTTGCTGAATTAGTGACCTGTAAACAGCAGGAGCACTGTATAAGCTTTGAACTTACCTGCACCTGCTGGATGTATTTTGGCATGATTTCCGCCACATACTCTCCAAATGCTGCCAGCTGGTTGTGGGTGACAGCATCCTTGGGTCTGACTGTGGCTGTTCAAACCGCAAAACATAAATGGTTGCTTAGTTATTTATACACTATGCTATAGCAACACATGCATATATACATTAAATATAACACAATTTGGCTTTATCAAAACTAATTTATTTCACTCATTTATTCAAGTTGAACTCTGGAGAGCAGAGATCCCCCGACTGATGCACCTCTGATCGTCTGTGCAGTAACCGTTTCACATTCATTTGTTTGTGAAGGTAATCAGTCATCAATTGACATGGGATTGTTTTTTTTAAATATATATATATAAAAAAAAAGATGTAAGCTCAGATTTCTCCTTTTTTAAATTAAAATAAGTAAGGCTCAAACAATCGGTTATTGAAATATTTGTCAACTAATTCAGTAATTGATTAATCATTAACTGGAGTATAGACTCTGAAACATGCCTTTAGATGAGAGAGCAACACACTTAGAGCAGTAATAATACCAAAATTTATGAAAAGATGTATAAATATTTTTCATTTAAGATTTTAAAAAATCATCCCGTCAATATGTCAATATACTCTATCCAGAACTCCACAAGTTTTAAAGTTTTAGTTTCCCTTGGTTTAAATCTGTATCAAATCTTCTTTAAGGAAGCTTTTGCTATACATCCATCTATCCATCCGTTTTCTGTCACGCTTATCCCTGCTGGGGTCGCAAGGGGTGCCCATCTCCAGCTGTCTACGGGCAAGAGGCGAGGTACACTGTGGACAGGTCGCCAGTCCATTGCAGGGCAAAACAGAGACAAACAGGAAAAACAACCATTCAAGCACACGCTCACACCTAAAGAGAATTTAGAAAAGCCAATTATCTAAACAGTAATGTTTTTGGACTCTGTGAGGAAGCCGGAGTACCCGGAGAGAACCCATGCATGCTCAGGGAGAACATGCAGAAAGACCCCGGGCCAAGAATTGAACCCACAGCCTTTTTGCTACAAGGCACTGAGCAGCCCTATCCTTTTGCTATCCAATTAATTAAATGATTATTATCATTATGATTATACATTATGATCATTAGTTGCAGCCTAAAAATAACCCACACTCACACCAATTCGCCCACACAAACTCCCTAACTAAATACTCCACTGAAGACGATGGTTAATATTCAAACATTAAGTAGAGGGGAGGGGTGGCCTAGTGATTAGGGCATAGAGCTTGGAATCCTGAGGTTCTGAGTTCGAGCCCCCCTCCCACACACTGCCACTCTGGCTCCCTGAGCAACACCCCACACTGCTCCCCAAGGGGATGGGTTAAATGCAGAGGTAAATTTACCAATGTGAGATCAATGAAGTTCAATTATTAATAGAGATATGGTGTGTCTGTCAGCATGTATTAGTCTACCTCTATAAATTAAGGAGTAGAAAAGGGATATAAGGGGAAACTGCACTAAATGAAGTATATGCTAGATCTGTTTCTCTTATAACTTATGTTGCGATGGCAGTGTAAAGAGGAACTATAAACTGAATTAAAATCTAATTCTATCCGGAAAGTAACGTCTTACTCCTAAGACGTAACAAATGCTGTATCATAAGATCAGCACTAGTCCATCTTAATAGTGGCTCAGTTAAATATTAGAGTCTGCATCATTGGCTCGATAGATGTTAATACTCACGGCGAGTCTCAGTGGTGGAGCTCTGCGCTCTGATCTGTTGCTGCTGCAGGAGACACGAAGCCCGGGCAACTGAGGGAGATACAGGTACAACAATTACACCAACCAAATATGCTCCAGCTGATAACCCGCTGTGGTCTAACAGTGTATAACAGCTAAACGTCGCCAGTTTGAGAATAACAGCGTTAGCTACTTCGAAGGTCAGTCGGAGATTTGAAGGCTAATGAACAAAATTACCAGCTTAATGAACATGCCGATATGTGTAAATTAATGGTTAGATCTATAGCATACAAGCAGTTTAATAACGAACGACCTGCACGTCAACTTACCATTAAAACTTCGCCCAAGACCTCCACGGACAAACCTCACCAACGACGCCGCCATGTTTACACCGCGCTCCTAAAGTTACGTAAACCGAACCTATGTCGCCCCCTAAAGGCGTGGAGGGGAAATCCCAGAAAATTGAAGGTTTTCAGTTGTTTGGTTTGTTGGGTTTTTTTTATTAAAAAACTATGCTTTGCGTTTGAATTAGTATATTCACTGCACCAATTTTGTTTTTAGTCACAAACATGTCCAAAGAGAATGACATACACCAAAAATGACTAGGCTAACACAAAAATACTGCTACACTGTACTGCCTTTAAACCCATTGTTTTCAGTTTAAAGTTTAACTTCAAAGCTGACTTAAATAAATATCAACTTCATTTTGTGGCTATGAAATTATACATTTAGTTTATAATTTGCTGCAGAAAAAAATAAATATAATTTGATCAGTTTTTTAAAGGAGCATCCTTCAGTTCTCCACATTTCAAGCATCCTCAGACCAGTTGTTAAAACTATGATGGTCCCAATTAAGCAATGTGCTCATTTTATAGAATATGAAATAATTGTGCATTTTAAGGAATTTTGGTTGATCAGTATTACAAGTAGAGAAAAAACAAAGCTCAAAATCAGCCAGCACTTTTATTACAAATATTTACTGTTTGGGCATTTAACAGATGCTTTAATCCAAAGTGACTTACAAAGTAGACACTATGTTAGTCATCATCAATATGACAATAAGTTCTCCAAAGAAAAAATCCCTAATCAGCATCAGTAGTGACAGCAAAGAGATAGACGGAATTAATCTTAATCTGTCCTATTTTTGAAGTTTTATACAAATATAAAACAAAAACAATTTCCAAAGAGTACAAAGTATCTGATGCAGCAAGTTACTTGTTTATTTTCTTTTTGGACTCTATAAAGATTTAGTTTAAACATTTATTTACACCAAGTAGTGAATCATAGAAGAAGTCACAAACATCATTGTTCAAGCCAATTAAAAAAGCTACTTCCATTAAAAACACACAAAAAAACATAACAAAATAAAACCAAACAAGTCAACATTTTTATCCAGTCCAGTTTTCAGCTTGAATGTTGAGGCGTAACCCACTGCTGACCCAGTCTCTCAGGTGGAAAGCTCACAAACTTTTTGGTAATACTTCCTAAGCATCTCCAGCTGAGCTGAGCGTACCAAGATATGCGGCCTGATGGACGACAGCCGCTGACATGCCTCTTCTGGAGTCCAGCAGTGCAGCTGTCATCAGAAAAATACATCTTAGATATTTAAAGATTTAAACAAACAAACAAAAAAAGAGGCATGGAATATTTCTAACATAAATTTGTCCTGTTGACCAAAAGCAGGGGAAACACACCCGACTTGATTTAAGTTTTTCAGCTAAACAAAACTCAAGTTCTAAATTTTCCCCATTCAAATCTCTACAGTCACCTCCTAATAATGGACATAACCAAAATAATTAACAGATGAAATATAATTTAACGACTAAAAATGCAAACATTCATTCAGACTTAGTAGGAGACCAGTTTGTGACATCTATAGATCACAATTAAGGTCAGGGTTATGTTTTCCACCCTCTGTGTTCTAGTGTTAAATATGTTAACTCCTCATTTTTTTCTCCAGTAGCTCTGATATGACAGCCACAGTTGTTTAGGAGTTCTGTACTGACCCGTATCAGGTAAGCAGCTACCAGTGTGGCACTGCGACAACGGCCCGCCTTGCAGTGGACATATACACTTGTTCCTCGCTGTCTATGCTGCAGAGCAAACTCCACTCCCCGGTGAAGGTTCTCCAGAGTGGGGACTCCAGTCAGGTCCACAGTGCTTAGCCTAAGCTGCTCCACACCTGCAGCACGCCACTCCTGATCCAAAACATCAGATTCTTAAACTCTAGCCTTAATTTCAGAGATCTCTTTTCTCATGCTAATCCAAGGTATTTAAAAAATAAATAAAATATTCAACTAAGTTTTCATTAATATTCCCTTACGAATTGCAACAGACAGCTATGAAATTTACTCACCTCAGAAGAGTTGCAAAAGTATTTGGTTTCATACATTTCATTCATGGTTACGACTCCCCGAACATTCTCAGTTTCCACCAGCTGTAACAACAAACAACAATCAGTTCATATTCAGCTCCGAAATCCACACATTGACAAAGTGGAGTCAAATGATAATCATCACACTGCTATTATGTTTAGGATTTTGATCACCAGCTTACAGGATGACTCCCATTATACTTCCACGGTAAACATAGGGCAGGAAAATCTATTGTTGGGAGCATATTTCTTTGTGTTTGAACACATTATTAAAAGAAAAAAATGCTATGCTTTCAAACTATAATGCTAAAATCAGTAACACTTACATTTAGCTTCCCAGATCCAACTAAAGACAAAAATTGATCCCTGCTGAACTCTTTCTTGAAAGGTAGTTTAATTAGATTTTTTTTTTTCTGACTTGGAACTCAGAAATTCAAACTTTTAATAAGAAACCAAACTAAACATAAGTTTTAACCTGTACCTTCATATCTCAGTTAAATGAAATACTATCAAAAAGTTAATTATGCTTGTTAGAGATAAGCTGTCTGTGTCTACACCTTGGTTTCTCTCGCCAGTTCTTTTTCCAGAAAAGAGATCACTGGGGAGAAACACTTCATAGCTTATATGTATTAAATAACCAGGAGACATGACAACAGATTCTGATAGAAATCACAATCTTACTCAGATCAGAGAAATTGCTTAGAATGTACAGAGGGCAGCTGCTCACCTCTGGGTTCACCTCACAGGAAGTGGCCCCGATAACAAGTTAAAAAGACATTTTATAAATCTCCAGTCTGCCACATCATTACATCATACATGTTAGCAGATGAGTAGACATCCATGGCTCCAGCTGTATCAAAATAATACACTTTGTTCTTAGCTGAAGGACACCGCTCTCATTCCATTTCCAAATCTTTGCCACGTACAGAATGAAGATTATACCTGTAAGTCCGGACAAAGGAACTGTCCTAATTAGATAAACTATTGTAAAAAAACATCAGTTCTGACTAGGGATGGGGATCGAAACCCGGTTCCATCAAGGACCCGGTTCCACTTTTTTCAAAACCCGAAAATCAATAACGTTTGGGCTTATCGATACCACTATCGAGTCTGGTCGTTTTTTTTTTCTCCCGGAGGTCCTGTAACATAATTGTGTGTCCCTCGAGTCGCGTCACAGCATTTAAATCTAATCAATCCGATCACTGCAGCATGTCCACCAATGTTTTGGAATGAAATTGTTAGCAAACAGATATTTAAAGTAAAACAAGTCTGGCACTTAACTGTGCTCGCGACTTGAGAATGGCTGAACGGAAAAGACTCCTCCTCCTCCTCCTGCCCCCGCACCACAGCCGGGCCCGTCTCCATCATCCACTCAGAGTACCACTGGTAAGCGCGCACACAGACTTTGTAGCTTGTCCAGTCAGTTAAAAATAGTAATTGTGAAATCCGTGTTGTAATCGGAAGCATACAAGCTAGTTAGCTTGAAAAGTAAATAAAGTTTCAGACGTGCTGCGTGATGATGTGTTCAGATTGGCTCAGTAAAACGACAATTAGGTTATCATGATGCGTTCAAGTGTAACGTAAAGAAAACGGGAAATTGAGTTTTTAGCGAGAAACATGAGTAATACAGTTGTATATTGCTCTAATTATTTTAGAATATATAATTAAACTACTGATGCCAACATTTATTAAAAATTACATTTAGTTTAAAATACAATTATTTATTTGTTAAATATTTTCCTAAAAACACGATGAAAAGTGACAGTAGACAATACATTAACCAACAATTGGGAAAATATATTCTAGTTAGTTTTATGTCATTTCAAAGTGGCCTATTACATTAGCCATGTTTATTGAAGGCTAGAAACGTTTTTGTTATGCTCACTTGTTAAGCAATAAAAGCAATACCAGTTCTGTTAAAAAATATTGTTGCATCGTCTTTCCACCAAATAACAGAAAAGTATCGATAGTGGTATCGATAAAGACTCGGATCGATAAGGAGTATCGATAAAGGTATCGATATCAATAAATATTAACGATCCCCATCCCTAGTTCTGACATGCAACAGGCAGCTAATATTAAGTAATAAATAATAAATGTAATAAACTCACACATCATCAATGATAATTATCCTAACATGCTTTAACTTAAAATGTGAAACTCATTTAATGTGTAGATTTATTGCATAAAGATGTGAAATGTTTGTTAGATTCAGTGATTTACTCATCTTTAACCAACTTTTATTCCGTGCTTCTCAATTTCCCATCAGACCCAGAATCAAAAATAACATGCAAAGTTTACCTGATTGCTTATGGTCCTGTTTTACCTCACTGTATCATTTTAAAATGAACTGGAACTGCTTATTCTGTGGAATAGCTTGAAATGTAATTTGTTGCAACGGTATGAATAATGGCATGATAAAAAATAAAAGCATGTTTTCCTGTCTTTAAACTTTCTAATAATGTGGTGGATACTGCACTCTGTTGTTAGTTACATTCTTACATTAGTTACATTCTTGGCTCAAGATACCCCCCAATAACTACTATGCATATACCCACAGAGTCAAAAAACATTAGTGATTCATTTATATACACATATACATCTTTGACCAAAAAACCAAAGAGGAAAACACCAAAAAAAATAGTTGTCTTCATTACAAATACAACCACTAAAGAGTAGCATAAACACATAAATAAAAATTAACAATGTATATGCATATATGTACACAAATTCCTACCATACATAAAAGAAAAGCCTTATTTATTATATGTGCTTAACTTCTGTAGTCTTGGCCATCAGGTTTCAATGCATTACTCTTAGGGATTCTCAGCAAGTGTCTCGAGCTTTTCAAAATATTTTATTAATGGATTCCAAGCACCATAAAACCGATCAGTGGAGGCTCTTAGTGTATATTTAATCTTTCTAATTTGAGGTACAACATTAGATCAGACCCCCATTCAGATAATTTTGGTGGGCAGGAAGATTTCCAGTGTAAAAGAATCTGTCTTCTAGCTATCAAAGTTGAAAAGGTTATTATATCCTATACAGTTTGGGTACCTAGAGGTACCCAAACTATCAAGTGGTATTGTTTCAAAAATATTATATATAATATAATATAAATATTAGGCTGATATTCTATTCCTATGATTTCAGATATCGTTTTATACACTCCAAACCAAACTGAGTGACAATCATGTTTAACAATGTATGGTTATCGACAGCTGAACAAAAATGGCTAAATTAGCTGTAAATTTCACTTTTTAAATAAAACCGGTAAAATGTGAGCTACTGTATTAATATTTTAATTACTGAGGATTTCTTTCGTAGGAATTGTGGTGGTGGAGGGGTTAAACTGGTTTAAAGTTTGTTTTCCAGGAGTTCTGACCTGTTTGGTCATGGACTTGAATGGCAGCGCTCCCAGGATGACCGTCTCGTCCACTCGGTCGAACCACCTCCTGGAGGACATCTTCTCCATGACAACATTGTAAGCTAAAGTCGGATAGAAGAGCAGCCTGGCTAGCGCCCCGGACATGGTGGAGCTCTGAAAAATACCAAACAGCTTCCAAGCACAGTCAACTCTGCATTGCTAGCCAATAAACTCTGGTTGTGACTGCCTGCCTAAACTATAGGCGGTGTAGGTACCAGCGCCTGCTTCTGTTTACAATCTTCCGGTGGTCTATAGAACTTCCGGAGCTAACCCTTTCAAAATAAAAGCACACAAAAAAGTAAAAGGATAGTTTAGCTAACACAAATACGACACGAGCTTTACATATTAGGCCAGAAATCATATGTTTCTTTATCTTTATCCTTTTAATTTATAAGTACAATACATTGTTTACTTTATCTGTAAAGAGTATTTTTATTGCATTTCTTTCAATTAATTAAGGAAAGGGCTTTTGGTAAAATGTCAGCATTCAGGGTATTTTTAATCTATTGATTAAAAAAAAAAGCCCTTTTCTGTACCCATTATGCTTAATTCCTACTTTTAGCCTGCCTTTGAACTCATATTACTGAAAGGCATTTTTTTAGCACTGGCTCTGAAACTATTACACAGTTTTTATTAAATTAATTTCAGATGAAGGTTTCTGTTTTTAAGATAAAGTACCAAATATATTATGCATGTTTGTTCCGCTGTGAAAAAGTTTAAATAGAAGCAGCATTCCTGTCAAATGGCGTAACAGATGAAAAAGACAAACTGTCCTATTGCTGTAACATTTCTAGTCATGAATGAATTAAATGGTGCACAGAAGAAAATGGCTTAGCACAATTTTGTCTTTTCACTTCTGTTACTCAGTGTAGGTCCAGTACATTAAAGTCACATTCATTGTAGCGGACTTTGTGATTATACTGTGACAAAATGCAGAAGGGTTTAACTGAAAACACTATCCTTACTCTGTAAAGCTAATAAGGGCAGTATTATGCTGTGGGACAATTTTTTTTGTGTGCAGAAATTGACAGTCAATTAGACAATGGATGGAGCTACAAGACAACCATGAAGAAAACTTGCTGGAAACTGCAAAAGACTTGAAGTTGAGGTTCAATAGAGGGCTCTTGAGAATGCAATCCGAGCAAGTTCAGACTAAAGCAAACAGTGAGAGGGGACAAAGCCCAGAACTATAGTTTAAATGTGCTTGTTTCCTTCCGACTAAATTTAATGTTTTAAACCAGATGGAATCCAAAATAATCTTTGAATTGAAAAGTTTATATGCATTAATTTGCAGATGTGTCTTTTTATATCATTTGAACTGAGCCCAAAAACTTGAAAACCCCCTTAAGGATGAATGGTTAGTTGATGTTTGCTGAATCATAGCAGCGAGGAAGGCTAAGGCCAGCTGTTACCCATGATGCTGCCTCCATATGAAATGGCTGAGATGTAATAGGCCAAGCTGGCAGGCTGAGAGTTTTAGGGATGTTAAGTAAGTGCCAGCCAGTCGTGAGATTTAAAAGTAATTTTTTTTTTTAGATTAATCAATTTCAATGAATGTAATGAATTTTAAATTTGAAACCTTTTCAGCAAACAGCAGGACCACTTTAACCAGTTCATAGAATGATATGGAGACATCCAAAGCAGATTTTAGCGCTGCAGTAAATGTTTAATGACTCCCATCATTGTCGACCACTGCCAGCCTCATTTAGGAAGTCACAGCTGTGCACGATAAAACACTCTCCACTTATGAATGTACAGAGGAAGCCAAGAGACAAATAGTGAAGAATGCATTTACTGTATTTGGACAAGCTTTTTCCAAATCCACCATATTAACCCAGGCGAGTTAATTACTGTGTGCATTAAGATAACAGTCTTGATGCCAAAAAAAAAAAAATAATGAAACGGTAGATAAAGAAATATATACACATAAATACAAAGCAATATAAAAACTGATTTGAAAAAGACCAGTGTTACCGTAAAATTATTCTATTAGTTGCAAGACCTATTCAAAAAAAGTGCAGCATATGCATAATACATTTGGCCTGTAACCCCAGTCTGTATAAGATCCGAAAGCTTAATGCTAGTTTGTCTAAATATGAAAGAAATAGTTCAATTTTGGATACAGAATATTTTATACATCTCAAGAACTGAAGGACATTTGAGCACCAAGGTAGTGTTCATTTACAATACATTTTCTTTTTAAACTGACAGTGACAAATCCATCTTATAACGGCATTAATGATATCCAAAAATATCTTCCTCCTTTACTTAACAATCAATATATATAAATGCCTTCATTTATCCATTAAAGCTAGAAGCAGTAAAAAGTAGTGAACCTTTTAATAACACCTGAACTTGTGCTGGAGCTAATTTATACGTTCCATAACATCATTTAGCCTCAGAGTGGAAGAGTCAGGGGTTGGTGCTGGTTGAGTTCAGGATGCCGTGCTGGACCTTGGTGTTTGAGGCCTTGGACAGGTCTCGCTGTGGAGGAGAGGAGCAGGTATGAGCAAGTCTCTGGTGAAACATCAAAGTAAAAATCACTGATATTTTAAGCAAAGCAGCCATCAGCAAACATGCAGTTACTCCGAAAAAGTAGTTAATTTCCCTGAAAGAAATCGATACTTGAATTATATTTTAAAGGTATTTGATTGATTTCCCTCAAGTAAAGCAGGGCCCAGATAGTAAGAAAACAACAAAGACCAACATATACATATCAACTCCCCAAGACATGAACAGCTAGTTTACATAGATAAACAAAACATTGACAAAACCCACATACAATGGAGGCAGAGATGGTATTTTAGAAAAAAAAAAGCAACAATAACAAATTGCTGGATGTCCAGCCACTTAAACTGGATCCATATTGTTGTCAACCCTAAAGGCGCTGTCTTAACCAGAAAATTACTTAAGGTGAACCCCTTTTTAATGAGCCACTCGCACTGTAAAAATACTCCAACCAATCAGCATTACCAATCTCCAAATGTGGCTTCAGATTAATTTGAACTCTTATTAAATTCTGATTGCGACCACATCGTGGTTTTGTTAATCACCTCTTGTCAGCGGCAAAACGATAGGAATTCATTTGAGAACTGAGCCTAAGAATTGAAGTTTATGATGTTTAAGTTACGCACAAACTTTAACTCACTCCTGCTTTTTCAGAAAACAATGAGAAAAAAAAAAACAACAACAAAAAAACTACTGAACTGTTGAATGCTCAGATTTTTATCCAAGCAAAAATCATAAGGCTCAAATTAGTTATAGAAAGCTTCCCTGGTCTCGGCTCTCAGCCCATGAGAAACAGGTGATGCAAAACCATTCAAGATGTACTTTAAAGGCGTTATGTTCTAACGTTTAAAGCCTAACCCTCATGCAGGGGCACATTTAACTTTAAGCAAAAGCATGCAAATGAACAGGGATTAGTTTAAGGCTTTAGGATTTCAAACAGACCTTGATTGAACAGATTCAGTGTTGACCAAGTCCCTCTATAACACAAATTAACATTGTTTAGCATCTGCACATAATTTTTCTTGACAAGCTCAGAAAAAAAAAAAGTTTCAGTGCAGCGGTGGAGGGTGGAGATATGTTAGATACAAAAGAGAAAATTACCACAAACTCTGAATATGTGCTGGCAACAGAAGCCATGCTGAAGTTACGCTGTGGACAGGGTGGGGTCTGCAACGCACCGCTCATTGGGCTCCCCTTGAACTGGGCCTCATTCTCCTTGTTGCACTCCTGAATCCTTGGGTGTGGGGGTTTGCTGCCACCGGGCGTCCGTGTTGCTGTAGTCTGGAAAAGACGGATAGGAGGGACTGATTAGATTACTTGGACAGAGGTAACGCACAGTTCTTACATCGTTCTAGAAATTCCAGAACAAAATCATTCACTTGGAAGTCTTAGTAGACGGGTAACATTTTTACTATGTCTGACAAACAATTCAATGATACAACCCTGCAGGTGGATTCTAATTAGGTTGTGTCATAAGCAGTTAGTTTACTTCTTAGGAATGTCAACAGACTTGGATCAATTTTATTTAAAAATTGTTGCTGCTTAGACTCAACTTAGAAAGATCTGAATGTTTATAACACGAATAAATTGGCAACTGATTATACACCATCTGCATCTATGCCCAAGAAGTGCATCAGAAGTCAAATAAGTAATTGTCATTTTCAAATAAAGGGGGAATTTATTTCTGAATTCTTACCATGAAAATCCAAACTCATTAAAGATCACAATTACAGAGCATATTCTAGCTCAGCCCATTATATTAAACTGATTAAACCATGTTCCCAACATTTGCTCAATGGATATAAAACTGTTACAAACCCATGTAACTGAGCCAATGACTGCTTCATTATAAATGAAAGTTGATTTCTTTTTTTAACCACAAAATTGTCAGGTCTGGTCTTAATTGTATGAAATGAAAAAAAGTATGTGATATAGTCTCATGAAAAATGACTGGGATAAAATTAGAGATGAAACAGCCCCAAACACTTTGCAAATGGAACTAAATACATATACATATCTAATATATACATTATCAAGAACTGGAAAATTGAACGAGCTAAAAGGCTTTTAAAGTATTATTAAAGTATGTCTGATTTTGATAAAGACTTTTACTGGCTTGGAATACTGATTATCAACATATCTGCATCATTAGCCCCTAAATTAAGAGAATGAAAGCATAATGTTGAAATAGAGGTTTCATATAAAAAGCTTTCTGAAGAACAGATGGAGAATTGTTAGACAAAACAAGGGTTATGGTAAGTTTGTTAATCTAGTTTTTACAGGACACAGGCGGATTAAAATACTTAATTATTCAGTTCTAAATCCTAAAATTAGAACAAAGCTGGTAGTTTAATGTTGTTAGGGTATTAAACAGACCTTGTTTGCAGAGAGGGGAAGACGAGGCACAGGTGAGCGACAGACCATTCCGCCGTACACAGAGCGCATGGTGCTGTTAGAGTGCCCACTGGACATGCTGCACGTTGCATTTAGCTAATAAGAGAAGATGGACAGATATTAGCTCTGGAATAATTGAAGGACTTCAGTTTTTAGAAGAGCCAAACAAGAAGTGAGTTTCACACCTTCCGGGATTTATTGGAGTTCGGGGTGCCGAGGAATCGACGCTTGGTTGGAGTTCGTACTGCAGTTCCATACAGCATGTCCTCCTCCGTCTGTTTGCTTTTCTTTATTTGCTAGAAAGGTTTTAAT